AGAGAGAGAGAGAGAGAGAGAGAGAGAGAGAGAGAGAGAGAGAGAGAGAGACTCCTCCTGTGGACGCTCGTGCGTGTTTGTATCGTCAGCTCCCGGTTGGCAGTTTCAGTTTGACATGGGCGCGAGAGAAAGAGAGGGACGAGTAGAAACGAGAGGAAGAACGACGCGGTAATAACGTTTAAGCGAACCTCGAGGTGGGCTTCGTACGGGAGAGAGCCTGCAGGCGGAGCCGGGTGCTGATCGTGGAGGAGGAGCGTGCCAAGGAACCGCCCATTGAACACCCGCTGGGTATTTTCTTCTCTCATTCCCGCTCATGTTGTACCGTCCCTTTAGTTCGTCCGACCGAGCTCAATCGTATTGGCGGGGATGGGGGTCGGAACGAAGAGGCGACCGGCAGTGGCGCGGGTCAGTCTGTCGGGCAACCGGTCGGTCTGTCGTTCCCTGCTCGTTTCGCTCGCTCGGCCTGTGAGTGTAAACGATACATCAAGCAGCTCCGCTTTTTCGCGCGTGCGAAAGAGAAGCGAATTGGTGTCTTTGCGACGACGTAACTTTTCCTCGCGTCCCCACGCTGTTAACAGAGTGCTACTCCGGCCAACATTTGGCCGGCGTCATTTACTTTCGGATCACATTCACTACCGATCGCCGATCGCTAAACGTCACTAGCTATTTGGCGTAGTTCTAGTGTTGTGCTCCGATTTTTATCGCTGCTCCAATAAGGACTCTGATCAGTACCTCGTTTTACTGTATCGTACTCCACTCATGCAACAAATGCGGCAATCGTAATCGACCACTCCGTGCCCGATTCCGTAGGTTTTTCGTTCCCTCACATACACACACACACACACACACACACACACACACACACACACACACACATACACACACACACACACACACGTGCTCTGTCATCTCTTCGCACGCGATATACGCGCGTATGTCGACAGCGAGAACTCGGTGTTGATTTGCACGATTGTTGGAGAGGATGCTGATGCCGCTTCAGCGGTACTCGCGTATCGAGGATAGAAGCACATACGGTCTTCCGGACAGTAATTATCAGGATCGGCATCGTTCTGACGCACGACGCCCGTAGCGTCACGGCGTCAAGCGAATTCGCCCTGAGACGCTCTCTGACTAGTTTGTCGGTAGATCCCACGTGGCTCAGGAAGCAGCGCGCGAGGTGATGTTGCTGGAGTCGCGAGGCCTCGCCGGTAGGAAGAGAAACGGACTGACACTGACCTCGTTCGGCGACGGTGGCGGCGGTGGTGGCGGAGGTGGCGGAGGTGGCGGTGGTGCCGGAGGAGCCGGCAGCGAGGAGGACGACGAGGAATCTCGACATCACCTCTATCTGGGCAGGAAGATGCAGGGCGAGGGCACCGCCGCCTCCGCGGTATCTACCGGGCTATCCGGGTGCGCTGGCGATGACGGCGACGAGAGCTCGAGCCCGTCGCCGAACAGCAGTCTCCTGAATAATCTCAATAATAATTGTAACTCAAATCGTCAATGCGCAACCGACTTCAGCATCGCTGCGATCATGGCGCGGGACTCGCGTCAACAGCAGCAGCAGCAGCAGCAGCAACAACAGCAACAGCAACAGCAGCAGCAACAGCAACAGCAACAGCCGCAGCAGCAACCGCAACAACCGCACCATCATAAACATTCGCAACAGCAGGCCGTCGGAGGCGGAAAGTTGCATCAACACGGTGAGTCTTTTCACATTCAATGGATGATCTTTGGGAAACTTCAACTAGACCTTCTTTCTGTGACGAATTGAAGTGTTTTGTAAAAAATGTGAAAGATATCAGTAGTAAAATAAAATTACTCGAAGAATTGAAAGGTATTTATCGTTAAAAGCGCATTGTTAAAACTAAAGCTAAAAAAACATTATTGCCTTTGTTAGTGAGTCGTTTTCTTAAAATAAACGTTTTAAATAGTTTTCTTAAATTTTCTTTATCAAAGTAAAAATCAATTGCGAAGGAAATTGAACGGAAAAATCAGGGAAAAGTCAAAGAATTTTTTGGCAAATTAAAATTCTTTAAAAAAAAAAAGAAATTTAATACCCAAATTATTGCACCTATGTAGTTTTGGAATGCTATCAACTTAACAAGTAAATGCAAGCAGTGTCAACAATGTTAATAGTAATTTACATTGTCATATTAAATTGTTCTCTCAATAAAATATTTAATGATTTCTAAATCAAGAAAATAATTCAAATTCAAAGAAAATCATGACATTTTATTTGGAAATCAGAGAAGAGTTATGGAATTTTAGGACGAGGAATTTGTGGCAATTCTATCCGTTGAATGACTTTTTTATATTATATTTTCTTATGATAGTTTCTGTATTTTCTAATGCACTTCATATGTTTATATATTTTGTTTCTCTCTCTCTCCAATTAACATTACTTTTTGATTGATAGATCTACATTAAATTAATAAATTGCATATCTTGCTAACAATTTTTTATAAATATATTTAACTTTTTAAAGAATTCTTTATATGATTTTCGTTGAAGTTGTATGAAACTTATAAAACATTATATATAGCTTTACGCATTTTTATTTTAAATCAACATTATTATGATTTATCGTGTGAGCATAGTTTCTTCATAAAAATGTAAACCATTGTTGCATATTACTATAGATTTACTTTCTGAAATCTTTATGAAATCCTTCCGCAATCGATAGTTTGTATCGTATGGTTTGTAACATCCGTGTAAACTTTACGAGCGTCATAATTACGCGTACTTTACCGATAAAAATTAATTAGTTTCGAAAGCCTGGATGCAACGTATGTTGCATCGTTACTGTTACGTGAATCATTAAATATCTTCCTTTTGTTTAAATAAATGATGAGTCGTGTGTTACATGTCACGTGCTGAATATTTCACATTTCATTGTTGACTTTTGTATTACTCCAATAAGAGTAACATTTCTTCTCTTAATTACATAATGAGAAATTTAATCGATTTTAATAAGAACAAAACGATTTTAATTATTGAAGTATTTAAAAATTTAATTAAATACAGAAAATAATTTTGATCTGAAAATAATTTTGCTGGACCATCAAAATAATTATGTAGCACGCTTAAATTGGTTGCTAGAATATCAAAACTTTTTGCGACATTGTTCATCATGCTTGATTTTTTTGTGTAATTATTTTGATGGTCCAAAATTATTAAAAAATCTGTATTTAGCTAAATTTTTAGATATTTCAACATCGTTATTTTCATGAGAATAGATATAATGATTATTGGTCACAAACATTAAGAAATAAAGAAGATTAAGACATAAATAATTTTTTGCAACTGAATTATATATCTTATGACTTCGTTTGGCACATACATTTTTAAGTTAAATTACTAATTTAATTTTGATTAATGATATCTATTAAAATAATGAATCAAATCTTTTCATCATTGCAAAACTACAATTTGCTCCGAATATTCTAAATGTTAAATATGATCATGCAAGTTATATTTCAGTTAACATTAACTCTAAATTCGATCACATTTATTTCACGGAAAATTTGATATAAATTCGTGTCATTTTCTTGGCTCGCGGAGAAGTCGTTAGTCGACAGTCACATAATTGACATTTCACATCGGTATATCAACGCACGATTACTCCTCTGTGTCGTTACAATTAATGTCGCAATTTTAACTTTAATTAATTTATTGTTAGAAAATATTTTAAAGAAAAATACGCGCGCGTTCGACAAAAGTAAAAACTAGATTTTCTAGAAAGTAAATTTGCCAAAACTGATTAATATTTTAATCTTTCGATATTTCACTATTATTCACTATTCTGGTTTTACAATTTGTTCCATATTTCATATATCTATTTATTTAACGCATTATGATAACAGAATATTATGATAAGAACAGAACATTTTATAACATAATGTTTTATAATAATGTTTTGAATTGAACATAAATAGAATTTATATTTAATTGGAATGTTATTTATTGACACGTTTTACGAACACTTCGATCTAAAACATTTATCGCTAATACTTGAATTCTTGTGACATATTTGAGATTGTCGAGATCGTTGTTCATTAACGGCTTCCTTACGCTATTACGTTTATTGTTATCGCGCATCGTCGCCGCTCCGGTATGATATTGTTCGAGTCATAACTCTTTTCGCGCGGCGCACCTCTCTTACCGTGGTGCATTAACTCGAAGAAAAATCGCTCGCTCCTTTCGGTACGGCCATCCATAACGTTTAATGCGGCCATTTCCGACGAAAATGGAGCGGCCAGTCTATCGCGCGATTTTTGCGTCGTATCCCCGACCTCCCTGTTCGTCGTTATGGCTCATTATTTTTATTGCTCCGTTAAAAACTTCCCAATTAATTTTCGACCATTTTAACATTTATCGCGCATTGATGATATTCCCACTCTTTTGGAGCGACATCATCACGCGAATGAGACTGACGACGATGCAATTGCAAGATATATATGAAACGTAGGAAGCGGCAAAAACTGTGTGCAAAGTTTAAAGTACTTTAATATGATTAAAATTCGAATATTTACATTATTATTGAAATTCGAATATTTACATAAAATAACTTATTATTTATAAATAATATAAAATTATTCATGAATGATAAGTTATTTAATTACTCAATACAATAATAATAATAATGTAAATAATCTGTTCTGAAATAAAGAAAGTTTTTTTCTTCAATTTCTAAACTTTTTTCCATTTAGCTGAAAAAAGAGAATATATTTTGGAATTATAGCGTATATTTTTTTATGGACTGCCGAAATCAATAACGATAATGAATTTTTCAAACGCTTATAATAGTTGTCAGCGAAGCTCTTAAGAAATGTATGAGATGTTTTTTGATGAGAAATAAAATACAGCGACAACCTCTTCGACGGAGCGTGAATTGTGTGGAAAGTTTTCTGCTTGACGTCTTCTCGCGTTTAAGTATTAATTCTGGAAGCGCCGATGACGCACATCGAAACATGGACTATGATATACCTGTAAACTGACAATTGTCAATGTGAATTGTATAAAGCCCTTATCCTGTTCGATGTCATCATAAATTTTAATATAGCTAATATTACGCCGATAATATCTTATTGAAGCACTGCTGCGTAATAATTACTGCGAGTATGGACGATAAAATAATTATGTATCAATTATGATGTGATATGTTTGAATACATGATACAATTATTTAATTAGATTTTTATTTGTTTTAGTTATTATTGAAGAAACTTTATTATATTATATTAATATAAATTAATACACTGAAAAAAAAGTTGCTGTTTCAAAAAAATATTAGTTGATTCAACTAAATGTAGCGGTTACGAACTGTCGAGCAAATATTTGTTAATTCAACTTAATATTTATTAATTCAAACAAATAACACGTTTTAAATTACAAGATTTTATTAATCTAAATATATAAATATTTGAACTAAATAATCATTACGAACTAAACGCATTTAGTCAAGTTAACAATTTTTTTTTCTCAGTATATAAATTAACTTTATTACATTAATATAAATTATAATAGATACTATATCAATTATTTTAACGTGCAATTATAGCTTGTTAAACACTTTTCTCTCAATATATCTACCTAAATTTTTAAATACTTCAGCAAAATTGTATTTTCGTATATAGATTTGACATCATAAATCTTTCTTTAATATTGCAAATTTAATAAATTTTTATTTGTAATTCCGCGCATAATTCATAGTGATTTTATGATGGACCATCAAAATAATTATGTGAAAAACTCAAATATAATGAACAATGCTACAAAAAGTTTTGATATTGGAGCAATCAATCTAATCGTTCTACGAAATTATTTTGATCCAACAAAAAATTATTTGCAGATCTATATTTGCTAAATTTTTAGATATATACTTTATCAAAATTATTATTTTTTTTTTAATTATAGTAGAAGCTACTGCTGTGACAATCGTTTTGCTATTTTATATCTGTTCAAGGACCAACATTCAGAATCTTCTCTTTTTAAAAAAAATATTCGCGATTAAGCAAAGGCTTGAATATTACTAAGGTGTGACGAGTGTAGGAATATGCTTGCCATCGCGTTTTAATTCACGCATTTGCGAACATAAAAATGTCGACGAGGTAAATTACAAGCTGGCGCGACGTTCTAATGAGGCCCTTTAATATAGAAATTGTTCCGAACTGTCATTACCGAGATAAATGACCGGCGAGGGCCGCGGCTCGTAGCTGGGGACGAAAGCGGATCGTTTTTGTGGGGAAACGGGATAATGGCCCGTCACTTTCGTTTCTTTTAACGACCGAAAAAGGCGTCTGGAGCGGGGATTCGCGCGGTAAAGTCACTCCATAATCCGTCGCGCACATTTAGATGGCTATATCTCATAAATGGAAGGTAAATTGACCTAAATAGCTACTAGAGAGTCGCTCGATAGGTACGGAAATTACTGTACATGATAAAGAAATTATTTCAAGTTGTAATCAAAGTAATAGAAATTATTATTATTATATATGTGCGGACATTTTTTCAAAATAACTAACGATTGCATTTTATCTTGCATTATAAACAGATCTGAATTATTCATTGAATTATTCATTCAAAAGTATCAAAATAATCAAAATTTTTTATCAAGAAAATTTATTATTTTTTGATAACAAAAAGAATTCTTTAATTTAATTATGATATAATAATTTTTACTATTGAATTTATAAAAATAT